TCGCATAAGCTTTTGCCGCGGAAAAAGCGAAAACAAAAGGGAGGTTGGAGAGTTGCTGGTATTTGTTTTTGTTTCGGGCGGAGCATCTCCGCTCGAGTGGATCCATTGTCCTAGCCGCGCGGCAATTGTGGCTCCGCTGAGCGCGCCTCTAAAATCTCATCATTCCTCCGCCCCCCCCCCTCCCGCCGCTCTCTCCTTATCTCTCTTCAGGCTTGGCGTAACGAGGAGTAACCTCAATTAGAGCACGCTTTAAGGACTTAAAGGCCCAGAGGCTAAGCTGCGCACAAAGTTTAAGAGCTTCTGCAATTCACGGGGGCAACAATGGCTGCGATGCGGATACGTCTATTTTCGTTTCTTTTGCTGCCGGCCTTTCACGGGCTTTGCTGCTCTCCTAAAGAAAGAAAACAACTAACGTTTCACCGATTTCAGAATTATTACAAGGAGCAAAAATACATTGCCACAGCCAACGTCTATTTATAGCTTCAGTTTTTTCAAAGTCAGAAACGAAGACGCAGAAAGTTTTTGACGCAGAAATGCTTGACTAATTTATTTCATTGAAGGAAATGTTCTGGTTCCGAGAAGATTTGTTCCTGTAATATAAAAGATTTTTCGTAAGACACGAAGATTTCTCGTGCTCGCAATGTTTTGTTCATTGAAAGTAGTACTTTATCACCACTCAATTTTGAAGCGGAAACGTTGAAATTCCCTTCAGTGCGCAACGTAAAAAAAAATTGTGGCTGTTCTTTATAGTTGTCAAACGATACAGCATAAAAGCCCAGCTCGTTTGTTGCAATGAAAAGTGTAGTATTCGTATGTAGGAAAAAAATTGTGAAAGGCTTATGCATCCGCGAAGCGAAAATTGGCAGAAAATTGTTATGATCGATAACGGGAGCAGAAAATATGTACGAAGATGCAAAGGAGAATATCGAGCAACCGCCAAAAGTCCAAAACAAGCGTGAAAAAGTAAAGGAAAGTGGAATCTTTAAAAGGGCTATCGAAAAGGGTGATCGTTCAGGGTAGTAGCGATGTAAAGTTCGAGCATTTTAAAATACCAGCAAAAGCTTGTTCAGCGCGTCACCAGGTAAGCATCACAGGCTACAGTGCTTGCGCCACAGGTCAATCCTTCGGCCGAAACTCCTCGTTGGATGTTCGCCTGTCGCACGGGAGGTTAGACTGGGGCGCGTGGGCTGGCTCGCGGGACGGCGCCTGCGCCCGCGCGCGCGCACACTACTCCTGCTCTCCTGACGTCCGAGCGCCGGCATCGTCTTCGAGCTTTCCGGCACTCGTCGCGGTCGTCGACGTCGAGGAGGCCCGGAAGGTCTCGTCGACGCCCGAGCTCTCCTGGTCTCGCATGCTAGCCTGCTAGAAAAACAACTCGGTGCTTTGAAGCTCGATTTGAGGTCAATCCTGTTACCCCCATTGCCAGAGCTTTGTCGTCCTGCGGCTAAACTTGCCTTTGCCGCGCGGTGAAAGTTCGCTCACGGCCGCACGCTACTGCAGTTATCTCGTTAGAGCTTGCTTTCAGCAGCCGCGACTGCCGCGACTCGATGCTACGCCGCAGGACCAGTAGGATGCTTTTCAGAGCGCGCGCCGACAGTTGTTTTTGCTACGCTCTCTTTCTCGACTTGCTCTTTTCTGCCCAACTTGGCGTTTCCGCTTGCAAACAAACCGCGAGATCGCCTGATTCAGAAGCTTCGATAAGTCGATTCAAATATATACAACTTTACAACACTGGCTACGCCTGGCGTTTAAATGCTTGGTCCTTTAACGAGCGGGTTTTTTTTTTAAATTGGCGATTCTTAGAACGCCGACTTTCGATCGAATTATGTTCCCCTACTAACAAGGAGAGTCGGCATGAGCGCGTGGGCGTTCGAGCGAGACTCGCTCGCAAGCTCTCCCCCACCTTCCTCCCCCTCGCGCTCTACGTGCCACTCAAAGACGAGCGAAAAGAGGCATCTTCTCAAGCTCGAAATTCCGTCTCGCTCTTTTTTCCTGTCGACCTAATTATGCATTGGACCCATCGCACGCGCTTTTTCTTTGAAAATATAGCCAACAACGCACCAGAGGCCGATCCGGTGAAAAAACCGAAGCTCTATTTTGCGCATTGACCGCAAACCACGCATTCTCCTGTTTTCCTGTACCTCGAGAAGCGGAGCTTCCTTCCTTCTTTCCATCGCGGGCAAATCGCGGGCGAACACAAACAGAGAGAGAGAGAGAGAGAGAGAGAGAGAGAGAGAGAGAGAGAGAGAGAGAGAGAGAGAGAGAGAGAGAAGCAGTAGCTTGCAGTCGAAACCTGCGAGTCGGAGAATTATGACTTCCTGATGGTGGGAATGCTTCTGGCGCTGTTCTTTTGATACTTGACGCGACGTTGACGTGGTTCTTCCTCTTCACGGCTAATCCATGCACCGGGATGCGCATTCTGCGACCCTGATCCAACGAATGTTCTCCATATTGGTCGCGTCTCGCGCGAGGGCCAATATATCGCCAGAGGGACACGCGTCGCGGCCCTGATGAAAAAAAAAAAATTGCCCCATACCGTCCTGATCGTGGGAATATGCGCAAAGGTAAGCGCGGCTCGTTCGCACCTGCGGCAAGGCATCGCCGAGGAAAGACGGCGGCCGAGGATTCAGTTGCGCCGGGCTCATGTTACCCCTGCGGCGCGTGCCACTTCTGGCACCTCTCCTCTCTCTGTGTATACGCGCGCGCGTATATATACGTACACGTATGCGAGCCGCGAACCTGTGTACGCGCTGCGCGAAACGGGTGAGCCCAGCCTTTCTTCCCGCTCGGCTCTGTGGGAGGGTGCTTTGCCGCTGCACTTGCCGTCTACCTACCTCTGCTGCGGTCTAGTGTCCTAAGCTGAGACTTCCTGCTTATATCCGGTGAGGGCCGGATGCTCTTTAGTCCAATCTTTTTGTTCTGCATGCCACTTTGAGACACCGTTATTATTGCTTTTTCTTCTTTTCTTTCGCCAGCAACGTCGGCCGCGTCGAGTGCCAAGCCTGCTGTCATTTTTTTCGAAGTGAAATCATTTTATCATCTCGTTTTGTGCTTTACCTTCAGGGCACTTTTGTCTCTCGTAAGATTCATAATCACTGGATCATTGATGGCTTTGTGTTTGAACCTGCGATATATCATCGTTCCTACTTGGATTGTCGAATATTTGAAAGAAAAAAAAACCGTTTAAAAATGTTAGATTTCGATAAAGCTCCGTATATTGAAAAGAAATAATGAAGTCTTTCACATTCTCATACGACATTCTCTATAACAATTCAAAATCGCAAATTTCAACAAGAGCTGCAAAAGTAAAGATTGCAATCTCGTAAGGAGGAGCAACTGCAAGAATGCCCTCATTTCGATCGCGCGCCTTTTCCTTGCAACTCTAGTAGGGATCTTTTTCTACGATCCTAGTAAGTAAGGGGCACAGGGGTGTATCGGCACACGTGCTTGAGGGGCGAGAACACGAGGGACTTTGCTCTGCTATATATACATGCGCTTCAATCGCATATATATCCTTCGTTTGTCATTCTTGCAATGCATAGGATAACATGTATGCTCGTCTTGTTTTGTTGTTACGCATCGCAAGTACACATGTCGTATGCATCCGTACGACTGTGGCGCATAAAACATCGCTGATTACTCAAACAGATTGTAAAATGAAGAATACTCATAAGCAAATTGTAAAAATTAAAAATAAATGAAAGATAGTATCAAATCATTCGTTGCGAAAAATTGCGAAAAAGTTGAGCTTGCTAGAGGATAAGAACCGATTAAAATGTGTGCCCACGTAATAATTTGAAATGGTATTTAGATGTATAGCTAGGCTATATACATAGGCGTATACTGCACAATATTCCTTCGTGCGTTTCCTGGCACCCTAATAGCAAAGGGGCGCAAAGGTGTCTCTCGGCACACGCGCTCGGGGTGAGAACATATGGACAGGACGCAACCATAGTCTCACAGCTATAGATATTATGTCTTAAGCGTAATGAACATTTATATATTTTGCTTCGGATCAATTATTCGTGCGTGACATGTGCTTATGACGAATGCTATTGCGTGCACTGCAATTACATAGCGGTTACATAGTTCTAATAGATTATTGATTATTCGTTTTGAATGAAGATTGTCCATATTTCACCGAATTCAAAATGAAAAGTGAATCAAGCTAAATGCTTTATTCATTAATTAATAAAATTTGCGAGTATTATTGTTAAATGAATAATTGTATTATTAGTAAAAAATAAATGAACTAATTTTCCTCAAATGGCCTTAAAAAAGCCAAATTATCTAATAGTGGCCAACGCTGTCTAAACAATTCGTAATCGGCGTCACACACAACGAAAGAAGAGTTCAGAAGCATCATCAATTAAAAGAATTGTTAAATAAAAATGTCGGATATTTCTATACTCATGCAAAAAAAACATAGAACTCGAACGAGCCCCCTTACATGTGTCCTGAGCGCCTATTACAAAAGGGGTTAGCAAAGGTATCTGTCGGGCAGTCGGTTGGTCTGACTGAACGGGGAAGCCTAGTAGCCGGAGGGTGGCTCGCCCAGGCTTGTATCCCCCGCGAGCAGGTCCTGCGCACTTGTCCCGCAGCGAGCTGTACTTGTCGAGCTCCAGCATTGCATGCGGCCTTGATCCCGAAATATTCTTCGCGTTTGAGGCAATTACGTGCATTATCCCAGGCGTCGCTGTGGCTTTAATTCAACTTGCCTGAATTTTCACCTCCCCTTCCCTGCTCGCGACAACAAGCCCTGCGGCTTCGGCGCGCCCTGTTGCACAGATTTCGCTTTTGCCTTTATGAATGGCACCCGCAATTTTCACGCCAATGTTTATCTACTTTTTTCCTTTCCTTTTCATTTCCTTTCGCTAGTGTGTTTATCTTTTCTTTTTTTCTTTGTATACGGGAAGTGGCTTTTTTGCGAGGTTATTCAGAAGTTTATTCAAAATTTTGTAAAGTTTTACATTGTGATCTTCCCAATGATAAATGGATTATTCATTTAACTCTTTTCTATAGTTTGTTTAAACTTGACTTTAAAAAAATGCGTTAGTTTTACAGAGTGGCTCAAAGGCAAGCGAAAGTTTTATTTCTCAAGACAATGCTATTTCAAACTCCGATCGCTCACACTAGAGGTAAGTCGGGCTCGGGTTCACGAATACAATCGAATATATCAATATCTGGCTCGTCATCGGGATCGAATTCGATGTCTTCCGGCTTAATGGTACAAGGAGGTCGCGGTTGTCTCGGGGGCACGCATGGTGCCGGTTGTACTAGCCAAAAGTCCACTTGCTGCTCGATCTTTTTCGTATCTTCAGTTGCTTTGATTACGTGAATACTATCTCCCACGTAGGCTATTATGTCGCTGATGTGGTCTTCATAGTAACACGACTGTTAAAAAAAATGAAATAATTACTTACAAGTGAGAGGTCTGCTGTTAATTTCGCTTTAATTATAATTTTACTGTATCAGAGAGATAGCTGGAGCTCGTATCGCTATCTGGCTTTTCATTCTCCAACTTAACAATCACGATCCTAAAGTATTTTGTTTTTAGTTTAATAATTTGCGTGCTTGCTTTATTTGGACCATACGGTACCTATTGGGTGGGAAATCTGTCATGTCAAGTTGCTTCAAATCGTCGATAGTGGAAACCAGTCCAGTTAAGACCCATCCATTCCTCACAGCTTCCGATGTCAGTAAAAATTCCTGTTTACAAATGATAAGTTCACGATGTCTTGCATTAGTTTTCGTTGTTTTTTTTTTAATTTTAACGAAAGATTATACTTCAAACACTTGGATCTTTATATCGGTAGGCATGTCATTGGATTTCGCTAGTTGAATCGCATCGCTCACTGCATAACTCAATTCTGAATCTCGCTGAGAAATTTGCTTCAGTATTTCATTAAAATCAACTGAAAATTACAAAGATTATTTTTACTCTCCCTGAGGCTTTGTTTTTAGTAATTGACTTGTCCAGTAACTCACTGTGAATTAAACCAAATTCTTCAGCAACGTGTTTCGCAATGCACTTACTTCTCCTAGCATCGTTATCAAGATATAGCACACGAAGGGTTGAAGGATATCTTGAATATGTTCTGAATTTCACAAGTTTCAAACATTTCTGAGTGATATCATCTATTGAATGGTTTTTAACATTAATTTTCTATAATAATTAAATGCATTAGTCACTTGGAAAAATCATATCAATTCTGAAATGCAACCACTCAACTATTAGAAGTTTGTCAAAGACGTGTCGCATCGCTCGTAAGTCCTTGCAATAAGTCACTTTTATCGTATCGTTCGTAGAAATCGATGCTTCGTTGGCTCCATCTGCAATAGAAATAACGATTCCAACGAACTATCAATTAATCGGTCGAATTGCAATTCACTACAAACCAGACGTAACAATTTCAAAAACGTGTGATGGGATGATACCGTTGCGTTGAAGACACTTGGCTTCCTCCTCAGTCCTCGGAAAATCTGTTCTTCAAAAGTTTCTATTCGCTTCAGTTATCTTCTAATAAAGAACTTTACGAATTGTAATAAATTTATTACCGAAAAATATCCAACCATCGAATCCGTACTTCATGTAACCCGTTAAAATATTTCTCAAATTGTCGACAAAGTTACACTGACTGATCTACGTTAAACATTCGGGATTATCACGATCACTTAAATTTTGTAAATATTTTGTGTTAAAACTCACTAATTCTTGTCCGCAAGTCACTTCATCTACCGTTATTGCAGGAATGTTCAGTATTCGTTTCAAATTCTGAGCTAATGCACGCTTGTCTGAAGAAAATAACATATTAAAAAATATTTTTAAAGTTTTCAAATGTTTCAAATTTTACTGAAATTCGGTGGCGCCAGTATAAATATCCTCGGTACATCGAGCCGACGGGCAGCATGATATACACTTTGTTTCAGGAAGAGAACGTGATCCTTTGGCTTTTTTATTAGTAACATCATCGATAACTCCTAATTTTCATGGAAAAATTTTGAATTATAAATAAATGAAAGGAAATAAATTTTAATATAAACACTTCGAATAAGAAGATTGTGTAAAGAAGTTTAACCTTTTAAGGACGGGACTGGTCGATATATCGACCACCAATTTTGTCAGGCACTCCACGTGACATATTCTTTCATTTTATGCACAAATATTGTGCAAAAAAAAAGTCAAATTTTAACGTAAAAATCCCCGTCCTTAAAAGGTTAAACGAATTTCTCCATATTGCCTATTATTTATTTAATTCTATGCTTGATAAAATTTCCTTTACAAAATTTTAATTTACATTGTCATACTAATGATTTTGTAGCTATAAAAGTAATTCAGTTACCTGAAATAACTCGTAAATCCGATGTTTTTCAATGTAAGACGCCTTTCTCTGCAATAGCTTGACTAAATTTTGCGTTACAACTTTCTTTGGTTCCATTTTAATTTATGTAATTAATTTTTACTATTAATTAAATTGTTACAGTACTGTAGTATAAGTCAACGCTCAACGTCTTATGCTAAAATTGGCTGTCCGGTACACATCTTGAAAAAAAAATATATTATAGGTTATAGCTGGCGCCACGTTTTTGACAATGTGTACGATCATGGAGACTATGGTAAGGTTAAAGTGGCTGCTCCAAAAAATCACATGCGCTCGTCGATTGGTTCGATCACGTGCATATCTTCTTTCAACGAGAGCAACAAGCACCAACAATACTTCTATCTTTGTCTTACTCACAGCTGCTTTTTAAGTATGGCAGCCAAGTGTCTTGAATTTTCGTCTAGATGAATCCTAACAAAGCACGCACGCCTTTCCCTTTGCAGACCGAGAGTGAAGTGAAGCTCTAGCTTCTCTGAGTCTTACAAATTATCACGAAATTCGGCTATAAAAGTTCCTCGTGAGTCAAATTTTATTTAGTAAAAATGTCGGATCTTGAAGAAAATGTTTCGAACATGTCGATCGAGGAGACGGGTAAGAAGAAACTCACGCACAAGGAAAAAAAAAAATTGAAAAAACAGCAAGAGTATGAAAAGACTATTGAAATGCTAACCAAAAAGGGCACTGGGGAAAATAGTGAACTTGAGTCGAATTTCACAGTATCTCAAAGTGAAACTCAAACTCGCGGTGGTACACAGCAGTTAGAAAACGCGGTTGATATCAAAGTTGAGAACTTTAGTATAGCTGCGAAAGGCAAAGAACTTTTTACTAATGCCAATTTATTGATTGCACAAAACAGGCGATATGGCCTAGTTGGTCCTAATGGGTGAGTATACCAAATAGACCACTGATTTTTAAGTAGTTTTGACTTGATTATAATGTTTATTTCAAAAGGCATGGAAAAACTACACTTCTGCGCCATATTGCAAAGAAAGCTTTTAATATACCACCGACTATTGATATTCTTTACTGTGAACAAGAAGTTGTAGCTGATAATACACCAGCCGTTGAAGTGGTCTTAAAAGCTGATGTCAAATGTAATGCATTGAAAGAAGAATGTAAAAAGTTAGAAGAAAAAGCTGAGAATGGTGACACTACAGTTCAAGATAAGTTACAGGAGGTAAGAATTAAAGTTTAAATATGATAAAATTAATGAATGAACTATAAAACTGTAAATTTAAACTAACACCAGGTTTATGAGGAATTGAAAGCTATTGGTGCTGATTCTGCAGAACCACGTGCTAGAAGAATCCTTGCTGGCTTAGGATTTAGCAAAGAAATGCAAGACAGAGCTACCAAAAACTTTTCTGGTGGTTGGCGTATGCGTGTTTCTCTAGCAAGAGCATTGTTCTTAGAGCCTACTTTATTGTTGTTAGATGAACCTACGAATCATTTAGATTTGAATGCTGTTATTTGGTTAGATAATTATTTGCAAGGATGGAAGAAAACATTGCTAGTTGTATCTCACGACCAAAGTTTCTTAGATAATGTTTGTACAGATATCATACATTTAGATCAACAAAAATTATTTTATTACAAGGGAAATTACAGTATGTTTAAGAAAATGTACACTCAGAAGTGTAAAGAAATGTTGAAGGCTTACGAGCAGCAGGAAAAGCGTCTGAAAAGTATGAAGGCTCATGGTCAAAGTAAAAAAGTGGCTGAAAAAAAACAGAAAGAAGCCCTCACTCGCAAACAAGAAAAGAACAAGACTAAGATACAGAAACATCAAGAAGATGATAATGGACCAACAGAACTATTACAAAGACCAAGAGAATATATTGTCAAGTTTAGTTTTCCAGATCCTCCACCACTCCAACCGCCAATTCTTGGTCTAAAAGGTATAATTATAAGAATATACTCTTTGCTATTAACATTGTATACTAGACATTAACATTGTATTTATTTTATTTTCAGATGTATCATTCAATTATGAAGGTCAGAAACCTCTTTTCATTGATGTCAACTTTGGCATAGATTTAGACTCCCGAGTAGCCATTGTTGGTCCCAATGGTGTTGGAAAATCAACATTTTTGAAGTTACTAGTTGGTGATCTTACCCCCACTCAAGGAGAACTTATTAGAAATCACAGACTGGTAAAGTTTAAAAGTAGTCTGCCAAATTCTAAATATTTTGAACGTATCTGACAGTATTTTTTTCATGTTTTTAGAGGATAGGTCGATATGATCAGCATTCTGGTGAACATCTCACAGCCGAAGAAAGTCCGACTGAATATTTGATGCGTCTTTTTGATCTTCAATATGAAAAAGCAAGAAAGCAGCTAGGAACTTTTGGCTTAAGTTCTCATGCTCACACCATCAAAATGAAAGACCTTTCCGGTGGTCAAAAAGCCAGAGTTGCCTTGGCTGAGCTATGTCTTAATGCTCCGGATGTTCTCATTTTGGATGAACCTACAAATAATTTAGATATCGAATCCATTGATGCTTTAGCTGAGGCCATTACCAGATACAAGGGGGGTGTTGTAATAGTGTCTCACGATGAGCGACTCATTAGAGAAACTGAGTGTACATTGTACGAAATAGATGGACAAACGATTGAGGAAGTCGATGGCGACTTTGATGACTACAGAAAAGATTTGCTTGAAAGTTTGGGAGAAATCGTTAATAACCCAAGTATCGTTGCCAATGCTGCTATCCTACAATGATCAACGAACATAATTAAGTTTCCAATTACAGTCGATTTTTTTTAACAATTGTGAATTGAATACCGATTGAGTCTTAGCATTTATTGATTTTGTATTTTATAAAATTTTAAATTATTATGCAATTAGAGACCTTTTAACTGAACTGGTTTAATTGATAACATCGACTTTATATTGGTAAAAATTGTAAATAAAAGATTTGAAATGTTCCCCATTCAACTTTTGTTTATTTCGTCAATCATTTCAGAAGTCTAAAGACTCTACAGCAAGCTAATCTACTCTGTCCGTTTTAAACTAGAGCCTCGAGCAGAAAACCGTTATTCCACAAATTATTATTTTGCAAGACTATTGAAAGTGCATTGATGAATAAAAGATGTTTTGTTCGAGATGCGAGGTGTGATTAATAGGTATAATTACAAAATATTTTGCATCGAATGGTGATTGCATTTTGGTAACAAGTGTAAATGGACGTTTATGCGGCGGCGCAGGTAGTGCGTTCGCACGCCGCAGCTTTTTGCAAGCAGCGAGAGCGAGATAGATAGATAAAGCGTGGAAGAGAGAGCGAGAGCTCTTATTGTCGGTTTTTCCTCCTCCTCTCTTTTCTCTCGCTCGAACTCTACTCTCTCTCCGTTCCGTCCGTGTCTGCCTGTGTCGGTCGTTGCGCGCTGCTGCCAAAAAGGGCAGATAAGTGATGCAAAAATTGTCAAGTGTGGCGAAGCTGCTGCTGAGCTGCCGTCGGCTTGCCGCGCCCGCAGGATGTCGAGTACACTGGAGAATCAAATATTGAATTTGCAAGAGCGACTGCGAGCGGAAAATCAGCTGAGGGACAAGGATAAGCAGTTATCACCGCAGCAGCAGCCACCCACTACTACCATCACTTCCGAGATAATGCAGCCCCAGCCCTCGCCCCAAACTAACTCCACTTGCCCGAGCCCTTTTGCAAGGCCCAAACTGCGTAAGTTTTACATGCTTCTCTTCCAATCAATCGTTCGTGTAGTCTCGTTCGCCGTGGACGAGATTTCTTATTTAATCGAGGAATTTAAGTGCACGATGAAAAGTCGCTATGAGGTTATGTTGATTTGCTTTGTATATTTTAATAATATGATAATAATATACTCTCTCCGCCCCCTCGATGCATTGCACACGTATGTATTCGCGATTAAGTAGTGATTACATAAAGTATCGATGTTTGAGGATTTTTCGAGAAAAACCGCGAGTTATTACGTTCTATATATTCTTACGTGTTAAAATTGCTAATTATTGGAGTTTGTATTTCGCACCTTGAGAGCTTTTATACTTGAACGTTCTCCAAGTAATTTGCTGCTTTTAACATTTCGATTGTTGACGATCGCGCATATATTATTTATTTGTTGTGCTTCACTTAAAATTTCGTTGTTTCTTTTTTATATTTCAGTTGGTGATATGGGGACACCCACAAGGTCAAGGAAGCACATGGAGTTGCAGCTTTCTAACACAATACCATTCAAGAGACATGATGTTGAAGTTGAGTCAAAACTTCAAGAAATCATGAAGATGAATGGCATTCTCACCATTAATGGTCAAAAATATAATACTGAAATGAATGATTTGGAGCAGTTGGGAGAGCTTGGTAATGGCACTTGTGGGCATGTTGTCAAAATGAGGCATAAGCCCAGTGGTGTTGTCATAGCAGTAAAACAGATGCGTAGATCAGGAAATGCAGATGAAAACAAGAGGATAATTATGGATCTAGATGTTGTTCTTAAATCACATGACTGTCCTTGTATTGTGAAATGCCTTGGCTATTTTATCACAGAATCTGATGTATGGATTTGTATGGAGTTGATGGTGACATGTTTAGATAAATTGCTAAAGAAAAGTAAACAAGCGATACCTGAAGATTTTTTAGGAAAAGTAACATTAGCTGTAAGTATTGATTTGGTTGTTTACAAGTGTTATTTTGAAGCATGAATTTTATAAACAGTTTTGTTTCATTATAATAGACAGTTAGAGCTCTGTCGTACCTGAAAGAGAAACATGGAGTGATTCATAGGGATGTGAAACCAAGCAATATTCTTTTGGATGAAACAGGTGGAGTCAAGCTATGTGATTTTGGTATATCTGGTCGTCTAGTAGATAGCAAAGCTAAAACGAGAAGTGCTGGGTGTGCTGCATATATGGCTGTAATCATGAAATTTATTTTTGAACATTGAAATGGATTTGAGCTCTAGGTAAATAATTTTCAATTCTTCTAGCCCGAGAGAATAGATCCACCAGATCCTACAAAGCCTGATTATGATATCAGAGCAGATGTTTGGAGTCTAGGTATTACATTAGTAGAATTAGCCACTGGAGTATTTCCTTACAGAGATTGTAAGACTGATTTTGAGGTGAAGCATTTGCAAGTTCATTATCATGTAAGTTACGTAATAAGAAAATATGTTACTACTAAGTGTTATGCATAAATTAAACAGGTTCTAAGTAGGGTGGTTCAAGAAGACCCACCCATGCTACCTTCTGATGCACCATTTTCACCAGAGTTCAAAAACTTTGTTAGTTGCTGCCTTACAAAAAATTATAAGCAACGACCAAAGTATAATAAATTAATGGAACACCCTTTTATCAAACGATATGAAGCTCAGCATCAAAATAATACAACGCAGTCGTCTGGTTCTCAGTGGTTTTATAACGTAATGCGACAACTGGAGCCAAGGTGAGTTAGTTATATATATTTGCATTAACTTATTAGTATTTTTCGGAGAGCTATGTTACGTAGAATTGTTTAATATATTTTACATATTTTGACATATTTATCTATTATCGAATGCATTTTTTTATCATAAGGTTACGCGTCCCCGCATATAGATGCGTCGACCTTTTGATTGAAATGATTGTAAAAGTATCTCAAAAATTAGTTGGATAATATTTTTTTAAATACGGCATGATTATCCTCAACTAATGTAGTAACGTTTGGTTTGGTCTGACTGTAATAGCGAGTATCGCGTAACGATATTATTAGTTTTCGTAAATTTATGAAAGTTTGTTGATGTCAGTAATATTAATTTTTCATTTGATTTTTTATTTCACTTTTTAATATTGTCGCCATTAAAAAAACACAAAACTTGAACAGAAAAATCCCAATTCAAAAGATCCAATGGAAAAGAAAATAATAATATTAATGATATTAATTAATAATAATAGTAATAATAATAATAGTAATAGCAATCAACCCAAATGTCTCAAGTGAATTGTCATAGAACAACTCCAATTAAAGGTGTTTTCGTGCGTGTTAAATTATGTTACAGCGTTGAGCTTGAGGGAGGCAGCGCGGCGTAGCATCCCCCACTCCCTCCGCCTTTCTTGTTCTTTCCACCTCTTTTATCAATATATCACGACCGCTATCACTCTTGTCCTTCCAGCAAACAATCAAAAATCATACGTCTCCAATAATCCCGAGAATAGTTTAAACAAAGAAAAATCAAACAAAAAATTACAACAAAGACAGCAACGACAGAAAAAAAACGGAAAAACGAGAAAAACGAAACACTATAGTACAGTAAAGCAAAGCATATATCTCACCTCAAAAATGTCCGTCAAAAATACTGTTCCAATTTTCATTTCGAGTTGTTTGGTTTGTGCACGCGCCTGTTACACATCCCACCCTCAACCCCCATTCATGGTAAGCATTTCTTTTTTATTTATTCGTTTTTATTCGTATATACTTTTTAAATGCCAAGCATCACGTACAACTACTTTACATATTTTTTATTTCATTACGTCGTTTTTGTAGACATTTTTTCTCGCTAAACATTTTATACGGCCAATCAATGTCTTTCTCTTTTTGGTATTTTGCCTGTGTGATAAAATCAGACTTTGTGGGTCTGTTTGTTTTTTGAATGTGTATATTGTCCAAAAAATTTTTTTTATTGCCTGTGTATTGTTTCAAACTCCCAGCATGACATTTGATCTTTTGATGGGTCTTTTATACACACGTTTGCTATAAAAACTCTCCTTTAATTTCTCTCTCTCTCTCTCTCTCTCTCTCTCTATCTCTCTATCTCTGTCTCCCTCCCTTTCCCTCTCTCTCTCGCTCTCTCTCTCTCTCTCTCTCTCTCTCTCTCTCTCTCTCTCTCTCTCTCTCTCTCTCTCTCTCTTTGTCTCTGTCTCTCTGTGTCTTTCTGTGTCTCTCTTTCTCTCTCTTCCTTGTATGTGTGATTTGCATGTTTAAATAACAATTGGCTAACGCTCTAACTTCGATTAACGTCTATAACGGTATTTTCAGCATTAACTAATCTGCTTCTCAACAGGAACGCAATTATATCACGGTTATTTTCGTCAGCAGTCAGGACTAAACTATATGGTTTATCTGTGCGAACGAAAAGATTTCATCGAAAATTATCAAATTTTTGTTATTCTTATTCAATTGATTTTTGAGATTGGTTGCTCGAATTCATCAGATTGGTACGATTCATTAAGCTTAAAGTTAGTCTAGGAACTTCATGTAATCGATAAGAAGTCCTGACGAAAAGAACCAAATAGATAATAAAAAACACCATCGCTTTATGAAAGCCTCCAGCCGTGTTCATCGTGTACATACATAAAGCATAATCTTTTATGTCCATCATCGCTTGAATTTACAGGGGTCCCGGACGACCATCGGGGCACCTGTCGCTGAAGCAAACCGCTCATTTGCGTAGCAACAGTAGCGGTGGCGGCGACTCGTATGCTCGCAACAGCGGTAGTAGCAGCAAAGATCAAAACGGTTGCGTGGGCTACGTGCCCTACAGCTCTTATGGCTTTCGCCGACGCGACATGATCGGCAACAGCAGGCCATTCTCACCGTCGTACAGTAGCCTTCAGAGAACGTATTCGCCTTATCGTGGCGCCATGATCGACGAGAACAACGGCACTAGCAGCAGATCAGAATTTATCCACTGCCAGAATTTATCCGACCAAGAGCCAAGGTCGTATTCGCCGTACTATGCTCGCGACAACAGTCATGAACGCAGGCAGAGTAGCGGTCCTAGATCCTTGAGTCCGTTCGCCAGGGATTACTCGCCATGGAGAAGGGAAAACGTCGATCCGCCGGTCATCCAGGTGCAGCCGGCGAACGAAAGGTACGCGTCGATTGTACAGCAGAGACTCGCTCAGATCAACTCTCTGCCGCAGAATCAAGTGCAAAATATTTATGCCAGTCCTATGTTTAGTCGCAAGAGGTGAAAATCGTCTTTCCCTGACATCTATTTCATTCTTTGGGCAGTTAATGGCATACATTTTTCAGGTATCCATCGGAACCACCCCCACAAGGGTCGCACAGCTCGACCCTAAGCCCCCAGCTGCTTATATCGCGTTTTGCTCATCAAATGAAACAAGAACCGCCGGCTACCGTTCCCCAAGTACAATTGGCGAAAGAATCATCGAAAAAACGATTCGCTAGTTATATGAGATATAGGCTCGGCAGCGATCGCGAGCCGTCACCAGAGCCACCACCAAGATTCAATCGTGGTGAATCGCCGCTTCTACAGAGACGACATCTCGGGGATCAAGCGTCTCCTTTCTTTCCAAGGAGGTAGGATACCAATTCCTTCGCTTCTTACCCTTTGCTATTTTCTTACTTTTTATCTTGGAAAACATTATATACATCTTGCTCTACTAGTAATCATACTTTTTAAAGTGCAGACTTGGCACATTCTACGTTTATTTAGGTATAGTATGACTAAATTTGAGTTCAGATAGTTCACTCAGTCCCTTCCTTTCGTAAATAATCTTAAGTAAGTCGTTAGAAATTTTATCGGTAAAATTATAATGGATGTATACCTAACTTAATGCGGCAATAGGTAATGTACCGGCATCCAGACTATTTGTTTAGAAACTGGGTCAAATTCAATAAATTGATTTACTGCTTTTTTGCCCCATTAAATCATGCATCGTGGTATCTCAAGTACATATGTCAGCGGTAAAGTACAGTCTTGTCAATTTTATTGAAAATGCTATTTGGCATTGATCGCTTTTTGTAATGTATGACGCATATTGAAGTAGCTTGAAGTTCAATATGATATTGTTTAGTAATATAATTGATAACATGTCAAAATTGTTTTAGGCTTTTAGTCAAAAAATGATGTACTATAAGCAAATGAGTAAACTCGAAGCTATGCTCTTTACAGCGACTGCTATCGTTAAAATAAAACTCTCATTAAAACTGTCGATAGATAGTTCTTATAGAAATGTATTGAAAGAGAACACGAGTACGTATAAAAAAAATTAATTTGTACAACAGGTATATCTCACCATCACCACCGATACCACCACCACGACGGTTATCGGAAAGCACCTCGGTACCTGGTAGTCCACAACATCTTTTCTCACGATTGCACCATTACAATACTCCGGAGCCGCAAAGGCGAGCAGCTCAACCGCCTCCATAACAAAAGGGGCTCGGCAGGGCGATTCACTCATTCTTTTCACCCGTGCCGTTGTACCTTACCAAGACCGTACGCTCGCGATTCTTGCAGAAGCAAAACGGTCAAACATGCAGCTAAATTGCTAATCACAATCATCGTTCACACATATAGGGAAGATAGAGAGAGAGAGAAAGAGAGAGAGAGAGAGATAGTTCTTTTCTTTTTGCACAACAAGGCCAGAGATGCGTTTGCGTATGAATGTGCATGAAAGATGCTCAACGACTTCTGTCTTTTCTTGTGTTTGTTTCTTTTTTCACCAAGCTTATTATTATATATGAGCGCGACTTTTTTCTACGGCAAACATGCGCTCACGCGTAAACTGTTCCTACTTTGTCGTTTACGCGATACCTCTATTTACATTTTATCATCGCGGCATATACTATCATAGTGTTCTATAAGCGAAGCGAGGCGATATATGCATATAAGCATTTTTTAAGTTGCAATCAAATCGTATTGTTGAAATGGAAAAATTTATTTGTTGTAAAGTATTGTGAACGCTTATAGCTTTTTATGCGTATCCATATTATTAAACACACCCTCTCATTTGTATATATATTATATGTCAATGTTTAATGCGAGAATATTATTTATCGTTGTTACCAATGTTACGTGGCATATACAAATGACGTCACTCTCTTTTTGAAATGAAATTACAATTCTGTTTTTTCGTAAAAGAAAAAAAACGCTGTCACTGCTTCACAAGCACGCGCTATTATATTATATACATTGTCAAGCTTTTTATCGCTTAGTCAAAATATATATATTCGATTGCTAAATATTTATTGAGTATTACGAGAAAAAATATATATATCAATATATTGAATTTTTGTGTATAAATATCGAAAAGCTATATCTATTAATCGTGTTTTTCATGTGCAAGCAATTCTCATTTTTATCGCAAAGCGAATGCTTCAAAAACAATCATTGTACGAATATTTTATCGACTTTTTTAAATGAATATTAAAGTATATATAAATTCGACGAATTTTTTAAAACATTATAGAGTTGAAAGAAAGTCTAGATTAATTAATTATATGTCCTCGGCAATAATGACCATTTAATAAGCGACCTGATATAGACTTACACGTAACTTCTTTCTCACGTCTGTATACCATTGTTTTCTCTGTTTTGTTACCTTACCTTCGATAATTAACGAAATAATGATCGAAAGTAGGTTATTCAAAACCTCGATATATAGTCGGGAATGTCGCGTTCTAATAATGCTTTGATATTAAATCGCTCGCGGCGATAACGTATTTTCGCACAAGATGCGACTCGTACTTTTTAGCGCGTAAGTTTTTATTGTGCAATGAAATCGAAAAACAAAACAATCGTATGGTTGACCGTTGCTAATCGAATAGTGAACTATAAGATCTTTGAGACAGGCAAGAATTAAAGTCTGTACACATAGAATATTGAACTTTGAATGAAGATACAAACTTTTGACTATGTTGTACTGTATTCACAAACAATATCTAGAGACGTACTCAGGACTAGAATGTTGTAATTATTATTTTTAATTCTGTAATATTCATACAATAACTTGTAATCAGTCTACACTCATCCCTTACTCTTGTCAACTCAGCAAGAGTATCTGTTGCAATGTAAATAAACTTATATTTATACAAATCTGAAAAAGCTTTATTATTTTAATTTTGGATACACAGCTCCAAAAGTGTTATTTTTGATACTTATTGTATCTAAAATTTTTTAGAACATGAAATGTAATCACATTATGAATATTTATATGCAAAGCCAATCTTTTGAAAAAAAAAGAGTATTTCTGCACATAGAATGCAAAACAAAGAAGTTGAAGTTGTTTACGCCTGCAGTTGTTTGAAATCAATTTTTTTATAGAGCTCACATAGAACAATAAAAGAAACTAAATTAGTAATATACATAAATTACATGCAAAAGTTCTAATTTGTTCATGTATCGGTAATAATTGTTCACGAAGATGATAAAATAATATTTTCTCAATCGACGAATCGATACAAATCGAGGCTTCATTCAATAGAAAACCTATGGTGTTCTTGTGACTATATTTAGATCATTCAAAATGAAGTTAAGGGTAACTAAATGCAGTAAGATATTTTATTGACTAAAAATGTTGTACAACTTTTTTCTTATTAATTCGTTCACCCTTACAATTTTATGAAAGTAAATCAACGAACATTTTTAATTTTAACATATTCTTAAATTATCTTCACTTTTGTTTATTTTTCTCTCTGAAGTTCAAAAGAAAATAATTGATCCATGAAGAGAATATCCAACAGATTAAGGTGAAGAATAATGTTGCAATATTTAATTTATGTCAATAACTGAGAGAAAGGTATATGTATATTCTAATAGACTAGTACTTTTTATAAAAGTGATGTATAGTGGAGGTGAAAAAACGAGTCCGGCCAATACAATCGTTATAGTATAGGAGCAAGAGTGAACTTACCGTATTCAAGTAGATGATACGATACTGTAGTAATAAAGTTCTTTATTTTCTATTTTAAATAGAACGCAATACCATTTTACTCATTGAAGTTAAAATCAGCTGTGTAATACATTAATTATGGCATAAAATTTATGTCGCATTGCACAACGTAGTGATAAATCTTTGGGAAAAAACTATTAGAAATTTTCACCAATTGTAATCATTATTCTTACTCATTGGATTTCAACAAGCCTACGATATAATATATAAGCAAGTATAATTATCAAATTGTACTTTGTTTTTAAATGAAATTTTTTAAGGATTGGATTAATTTAATGCGAATAATAGTCGATTTTGTAAAGTGTAATGTATAGGTTATGTTTATTATTGTTATTATGGTATATGTTTATTATTTGATATTTTGGTTATAATTTAATAAAATATTTATTAATCAACTATTTATTAAATATTTATTAAAATATTTATTAATAATAATAGCCAATTAGATTTGTAGTTGCTATAAGTCAGTTAAAAACATTTCAAATTAAGCAGCTTTATTGTAGTTTCAAGATTCACATTGTAGTATAGAAAAGTAATGATATATTTTCAAACTTTTCAACTCTATTATAGAATATGAATTTATTATTTAGGAATTTTTGGAAATAAAAAATTATATTTTTCATCATGTCTCAAGTGACCAGACCTAAATTACTCAAACAAATTCATGCTGGAGTTGTTAAAAGCCAACTTGATATTGAATATGAATCTAAGGTTGAACTACTTGAAAAAATGGGTGGACTTTTAGAAATAAATGGACAGAAATATGAAGTAAATTTGAAAGATTTTGAATATTTAGGATTCCTAGGTAATGGCACTTGTGGACATGTAATGAAAATGAAACATAAACCAAGTGGAATTATTATGGTAGTCAAACGAAAGCGAAGATGCAATACATGTGATGTACATGAATATCAGTATAAGAAAATGATCATTGATTTACCCATCGATCTAAAAACTAATGATTGTCAGCATATTGTTCAATGCTTTGGCTTTTACTTTAGTGGTGGCCTTTGGGTTTTTATGGAATTAATGGAGACTAGTCTAATAAAATTATTAAAAAAGTGTAAAGGAACAATACCAGAGTATATTTTAGGAAAAGTAACAGTTGCTGTATGTACCAAATTGTTTGTTATTGATTAATTTAACTGTTTCACACATTTTAACAAGTTGTATTACATTAACAGATATTAAAAGCTTTAACTTACTTAAAAGAAAAGCATGGAGTACAACACAAAAATATCAAACCTTGTAATATTTTTTTGGATACATCCGGGGAAGTAAAACTAAGTGATTTTAGAATACCTGATCGATACCTCAATATAATAAATACTGATGAATACACTTTATATGCAGCTGTAAATATTTTTATTCATCACCAATACCTTTAATATTATGAACATTTTAATATTAAGTTGCTTTACAGCCGGAAAGAATACTTCTTCCAAACTTTCCAAAATCTGAAAATTATGACAGAGAAAATGTTTGGAGTTTAGGCATAATATTAATAGAATTAAGTACAGGAGTGTTTCCATACAGAGTTTGTCACACTGTTTTTGAGGTATGCTTTATGAAGCATTTGTTATAAAAATTTCAATTAACTATACTTTTTAATGTTTAATACTCCAATTTATTTATTACACAGGCAATGGCTGTGATTCTTAAATACACACCTTCTATATCTCCTCATGCGCGACTTTCTCCAGAGCTTCGAGATTTTATTGATTTTTGTTTAATAAAAGATTACCAACAACGTCCCGAATATGATGAACTAATGAAACATCCTTTTTTTCAAAAATATGCAAAATTTGATTGCAAAACAATGAGTATTCTAGCTGTAAGTGGTTTTACAAAACTGTATGACAATTGGAGTCAAGGTGAGTCATTGAGTATTCATTATTAAAAAAGTTATGATTTATTATATAAACAAAATAAAGGATAGTTCGAATAGTATATTTTTACAATACTCATACTACATAAATTAACAGGTTGATTGCTATAATATTGGTATGAATATAATATTTTCAAACCACCAATTTATTTTTAAGATATTTGTTTTAAAATTGTAGACCAATCTGTATAAACATTTTAATTATATTTCAGCATTTAATTTATGGAAAACCACAAACAAAAGAAAAATTGAGTCAATAACTGATTCAACTAGTATCTGAAAGTTTATTCAAAATTCTAAACAATTTCGGAAAAAGGAAAAAATGTTCACGATTGGAAGCAATTGATTTCAATTTATTGCAATTTATTAGAATTAAGATTTCATTCTGCAGACTTTGGAATCTGTAATCTCTAACATCACAATGGTAAACAATTTATTTTTATTCATGAAGTAATCTAATCTCATTGATATAAATGGTAAATCTTTTGTCTCGCACGTTTTTGATGAAAAACTTAAATTTTGTTTCTATAAAGCGATCAGTGCGTTCAATCGAATTCGTTTGTTGGTTCAATCTATTCGTAACTTTGAAATCGCTAAGCTAATAGTTTAACTTAGATATTTCCTCATAGTTTAATTTTCACGTAGTGAAGGAAACAGCAATTCATTTCTCCAAATGATCTTAGTTAGTCCAAAACATGAATAAATAATAAGAAAGTCTATGTACGTCATCTTAAATTTATCAGTTAATCCATTCGAAGTGCTCTAACAGATGCACAGTTGATGTCATTTTTCTAGTATATATAGAGCTCGACTAATGAGAGGCGGCACTGAACTATGATTCATCGAACATCGTTGATACTTCTCACAGCCCTACACATACTAATGCTTTTAATCAAGCATTTTAATTAATAATCCTTTCATGCCTCGCTCGAAACATTAAATCTGAAGCCGTTATTTAGTAAACTTATTATATGACTTTTAAAAAAAGAAGATAGATTTACATGACGTCTCTGAAAGCTTAATTTGAAATGACAACAGCTGATAAATTCAATGTTACGGGCTATATGAAATAGCCAAGAATTACCCTTTTATAATGTATTATTATTGTCTATGCATACGTTAGTGCTTATATGATCTCGAACTAATATGTTATGTTTGGGTCATTCTGTACTCTGTAAACGAAATGGATCAATCGTATCCGGCTTGAAGGACCAAAATTTTCACTATCAAAACTGTCTGATATAACTTTGTTATCATCAGATTTAGTCTTGGTGAAAATAAAAGAAAAACAAATCTTTATTGGTTGAGTTGAGAAGACGTTGACGTAAAAACAGGTTTGAGAATACTGACACTGATCACTTTGTTATTTCACTGGAAAAGACTTTGGAAAATCCACTGGAGAAACCTCAGGAAACTATCTTGCCTTGATAGCAGGTCCTGGCAGTCACAAGCCATATTCCCGGAAAAGCCTCAGGAAAAGTCACTAGAAAAGCCTCTGGAAAAGCTTCTGGTAAATAAAACCACTGGAAAGACCACTAGGAAATCCCTCTGGAAAAGCCTTTGGAAATGCCTCAGAAAAGGCCACTGGAAATGCCTCTGAAAACTCTGTTAGTTTGGCAGCAAGTATTGGTAGTTGATGGTGAACCTTTATCCCTAATAGAAGGCTTGAAGGCTTCAGAGAGATCTGAAGCTGGTTGAGTAGCTTGAATTAATGGTCTGAATGATCCGATACACTAATCTTTATACTATTGCTCAGAGCTCATTCTTTCCCACTATGTCACATTTTGGGAGAAGAGACAAGTTGGTCCATAAGAAGTCGCCCTCTAGTGAATTCTTAATTCAGTTCTAGGTGAATTTGTGACGTCAGAGATTTGATTCCAGTTGCTACTTGTAATCCAAAATATAAAACAAGTATCATCAACAATCGTGTTGTGAGCTAACAAGAAGCAAGACTCGACCTGTCACTGTTGTACATCGGCGAGATAGGAGACAAGGCCAAACATTTACTTTTAATGTTTATAAAACCATGACGTCACAGATGTTTACCATGAATTCGTCGATTTGAGCGAAAAAAAAACCAACCACATAAAAAACCGATGTTGAGGGGAAAATTGGAAAATGCAGGCCGAGGCCTGAACAACAGCTAAGCTAGATAATAATAAACTAATAATGTATCTTTTTTTATTCATTAAGTAATGGGCAGGCTCGCCTACAAGATTTTTATACAAATAATTTTCCTCACATTCAAGTGGTTTTATTAAACTACTCGGTGGTTGGTTTCAAGGCGAGTTAAATTTATTTGTTGATAATATGTTTTTCGAGATATTATTTTTGTAGGCTTTCATTCTTGTGTAATCGTTAATAGGTATATATTACGCAGGTTAATAGGTTTCTTTTTTATTTATTATTATAATATCAGATCAGATTATTTTGAAATAAAGCAAAGCAAAAACGTTGATATTAAGTAATATTTGTTTATAAATCTTGAAGACAAGATACAATATACTTAGATGAATATATTATTAAAAATTTCTTTTATTCGAAAAATAATCATTGCACTTCCTCGAATATCTTGTAATATGTTACAGCGTTTAGATTAGGGACGACAGAAAGAAATAGAAAATTTATTTGAAAAAATGCAGTGACATTCTAGAAGGGACAATATGTTTGATCTTAGTCTTCTTTTGACCTTCACTTTTAGTAAGTATTTTTTTTATTGGTTTTGATTTTCAAACAGTTTTTGTGATTTATTTTTAGTAATTCTCGTCATATTTTTAGTATCTAATTGCAAATTTTTCTTAATATTCTTAAAGCTTCTTTTTTTTTGTATAATTATTTTTATGTTGAGTGAAGTCTTGCATGATTCGTGCATATACGTTCCTTTGTGTCGTGAACTTGTCAGATAACTTGAGTAAAAACAAATGCTAACCGTTATAATTAGATAGTCGTACGCATGATAATCCAAGTAATCGTCTATTTTTTCTTCAATAAATATAAAATAATCCCATTATTTCTTCAACCAAAGTGAAAAAAATCATATAATATACATACAGCATTGTTTCTATTTTTCAAAGCATAAACCAAATGCTTTTTTATAATATACAGCATGTGATTTTCTCGCTTGTGATTACGTATCGTTGAAAAGTAATAGGAATTTGGGTGAAATAGTGATTCCATTGTAAGTTATAAGTCTATTTTGACTAAACTTCCTGTAATTTATAATGTTAGTGTAATAATTTTTTGCATGATAAGGAGAACAGTAAATTGATTACGCCTGTATTAGTGTAAAGATGACATCAAATTTTATCGCTTTGTAGAATTGTTACCAAGGACAAAATCTTACACTTTCGATTTACCAGACTTTTCTTTTCAGATATCTACTGACCGAATTGCATGATAGCGGTTATCACTTCGATTTTATATCGAAAAAGTGAGTTATTTGATGTGTACGTTATAGAAATCACTTAGTGAATCAAAGGACAATGCTACTTCGAGATTGTACTCTCACGATGCCAGAATATGTCAGAGACTGCACTGACTAAGAACAATGCATAGTAAACAGATCCAAAGTATTATATTTATTTATCATGTTCTTGCTCTTCCTTCTACAAGTTGATAAACGATTACTACTTCAATGATTTTTCATGAAGTCTTCTAAGCGGCAATCAAAGTTCCTACTCATAAATACTCTAATTACTGCTAATTGTGTGGTTTAGATATATTGAAAGTTGAAAAACCGCGAATGTTTTTTTTTCAAGTGTACCTGATTGCTGTGCCTTTGATGATTGTATGAATTACGATCGGACAATTATGTAATCGTATGAAATAAATTTTAAATTGCATATATTCAGAATATTTATAAATAAAAACCGTATGTACCGCGTTGCAATGAAATATCTAATGTTACTTCTACAAGTCATCATCATTATAAATCATTTATATCAAATACTGTTTATTTTTAATAAAAAGTAACAAGACTGATCGTCAAAACGGGAATAAAGTTGTAAAAAATTGTATACAGTGATTTTATGCACAATCCCATTCCCAATGAAGAATTCAATTGAATTCTTACGCAATAACTTTACAAAAAAGAGTGGCGATGTATTACTGACAGTGTACACACATGGATGATATGAGTATATGTCCTTGAGTCATCATACAGAGCCGCTGCAGTTTCCGCATTTATACAACTATCGTATGGAAAACTTAAAAAGTTCTATTGTTACTATAATATAATAATTATACAATGATAGTAGACAGTCGTGGTCGCTCGCAGTGCAGACGTCGTTGACTAAGTCTCTTGACTACATAACGTATATCGGTATACGCGTGTATATTCATGACCCGCATACTTGTGATCGTATATCGCCATATCTTCTTGTAATTCTACAAAAAATCACTAAAACTCAGTAAAAATCTTGTAGAACATTAATTTTAAAGTTCTTTTGTATACATTTTCGATGACTATGAGACTAATTGTGCATTTCTCTTTTCAGAAAACAAAGTGTAACTTAACCTTACTTCTTTATCTTTCGAAAGCAAAGATAAGTAAGTATATTGATTTTTGTGAGAAAAACTTTTAATATTTACTCAAACTTTTATGATTCTTGCAATGACTTGTCATTTACATATTATTCAGTAGTATAAGTAATGAATAAATTTTCGGAGAAAAAACAATATTAGAGGAACCAATTTTTGAACACATTTTCAGGTTTCTATACATTATAGGGATTGGATTTTGGTATATTTAATACGGAAATAACTAATTGTACATCATTAACGTGAATGCGTCGAAAGAATAATTGTGACTATGCAATAGTTTACAAGGCATGGAAAAGATTAAATATATTTACATCGCTTAGTAAAATGGCAACTATTTTTCACCACTCACTCTAACGAATATTTCACCAAAAGAAAGTAGTCATTTATATTCTATGCGTGAAATATGCATCATAATAATCATCAGGTCAGTATGTTCTCCGGACCATGAAATCCTAAGTCTCGACAAACTCAAATTTTCCATCGCTTCATCACCGCATGATGAAATAACAAATTCTAGATAACTTTGTCGGTTTAAATACCATATAGTCTTCATCACACGACATATTACATAATAGGCAAAAGCGACGTTTCAACTGTCTCGACGCCGCCGAGAAACCTACTTTTTTCCTTCGTCGTGCTACAGTGCAGTTGTCTTGGAGATACGAGACTGCAATAATGGGTTTTCATTTATTGTAAAAGTTTTGGTGTCGAACACTCTCAACTGATTTGCATGTATAGATTATTCCCATTATACCTGCTGACAGCATATGGTGAAATGAGTATTAGCTATAAATAGGATGCAAGGAATATAAACGCACGCGCGTCCTATTTTTATCTTCGATTTCTTTTAAATCTCAGGGGCGTATTCGCAGTAGATAATTGCACTAATTGTCCGCGAGGTAGTTTTTCGGCAGCTTTGTAAACAGAGAAATAAAGTGCAGATGCTGATTTCGAAAAACGATAAAAGTCGTTACTCGATTTGGATTTAGGAGAGCATAACAAAGTAGGAGTTCCATATTCAATTCTTTGGTAGGACTTCCTACAGATATTAAGCTACAGGCCACGAGCACGAGAGATAATGAATCTTTGACATTTTTGTCGGAGGAAAGCTCGAACATTCGAACGTGCACGCGCTTCGATCGTTTTCCTCGCGTTTTTCACACACGAATCTTGTGATTAAAGATTGCACGCGTAGGTACGTGCTTCAGAACCGAGCGTCAGATCAGCATCATCATGACCAGGTAATTCACACGTAGGCGTTGGATCGAAAGGGTAGTGCTATTATAGAAATGATTACGATCGGATTTTTACGTATAAAGGGAGAGAGCGAACAGATAGAGAACGCGTATTGTGCGAGCTACACACAACACACCGACAACTTACGGCGGATCGGCCCGCCGCGTGCGTGGAGCTGGCGCAGGCACCAATCAATATGGCCTCCAACCGCTAGTCGCCGCTGCCGCTGCTGTAGCGAGGAGAGCTACACGCGCAGCCGAGTAGCGCATATTATATACTTTAGCCATAGACTGGCAGGCCGCGAACGGCGTCCGGGTCGTCGACGTCGTCGTCTGTTTTGCCTGGCCGCCCATTCATTATTTATTTATATTTATTTTTTTGGCCACGAAGCATACCTTCGATGCGATGGTACTTTTGGTGTACGGGTGAAGTTATCCACTACCCCTTCGTGAGAAGCGTCACGGTCTTAGCTTAACCTACAACCAACACACTTGGCGTAGAGAAGATCAGGGGGCGGTTTTCTTCTCGGAACGACGAGGAACATGCTGACGATTTTGGTACGTTAGTGTGTGTGCTCCGTCTTTCATAACTACCCTATTAATTGTGTGTTTGATAATAGTTGCATTTGCTTTGCATGGCGCGTGTACTTGCGTTGATAGTTTTCTGATTTTTACCCCGAAGGGATGTTTTTATTATTCGCATACAGCGGGTAATTTGCACACGGTTCCATTGGAAATATGAATGTTTACTAAGTGAATCGAACAGTTTTCAGATTGTTAAGATAGAACTTAACTGAAATTATTGCTTTTTTTTACCTAATTTAGTTACATTTTAAAAAGTCCATATTGTCTATTCTTAATGAAGCAGTGCGAAAATTCGAATAAAACGTGATGATAGATCTAGCCATATTGGCTCATGTAAAAAATAGTTTTTAAGTTTTATTGACGTTTATTTATTAACTTTTCTATCCAAGATCAAAATTATAATTTGAATGAAAACTGCTTATAGTAATATTTCAAATGGTTCCTTGTATTTTTAAAAGCACTGTTTAATTCTTCAAATTTTCTGCAACAAATAGAGTTTTGCACAAATAATTATTTGGTGATGATAACTAACTTATTATTAATGAAAATATGTAATTGTTTTATTAAAAAAAGTTTGAATTGAAGAAAATACCTTGCTAACTTCGAATAAAGTAGATATAGCTAATGTTAGAAAATTTTTTTTTCTAATCCCTATTGACCAGTATTGATAATAGAAATCAATGACCATTATATTAATTAATCATTGTACCAAAGTAGTTTTAATGGTTCTATGCACTGTAGCAAGTAAATGCCTTTTCAGGTTGATGGAATAAGTTGATTATAACATAGACTGACAAGTTATTTCATCATGCCCAAGTTAGATTGTGTAGAGGCTAACACAGTAGTAGTAAATCAGGGGGATACAGATGATGAAGATGTTTCTCCAAAAGATACAATAAGTATCCAGCAGATTTTAGATTGCATGACTAATGAGTTTAATAAAACAGGTACCAAAAAAGGTACAGATTCATCAAGAAAGGTAAACAGAACTGAGCAAGCTGTACGTAAGGTTGAAAAGGTGCAAGTGAGAGAAGAAAGCCCCAAAGCTAAAAGAATACCAAAAGTTACCAATCAAATCATTGAAGAAGAAATCAAAATAATTAAGGAAAACATACCAGAAAAGAAAGTTGAGAAAGCTCCAAGTGAAGAAGAAACAGTCAAAGTGGATGATGTTACCAAAAAAGATGAAAAACAACAAAGAATAGTATTGACATTTAGGACTATTGATGAAAATACTGATCATGGTAAAAAGACAAAAATTTGCACATCGACTCTAGTACCGGATGAATTAGCCAACTGTGACACAATCCGTGGTGTGTCTGTAAAAGTAGAAGGCTATGATGATGCACGCAATGATATAAATAAGTCAGATTCAGAAGATTGTTCTAAGCAAACTGTAGCTTCAGATACAGAATTGTTAAATAAAGAAGAAAAGAAAGAGCAAGAGGAAAATAAAAATCATTTAGAGAAAGACTCAATAGTTGAAGAGACTCAATCAGTTTCTGACATGAATCCTGTTAGCATGACAAATGGTGATGCATCACTTGAAGAGAAGTCTGTAGAAGTAGAAAATACATCTTCTACCACTAAGAGAAAGCAAAAGCAACTTAAAGAATCAAGGTATGTTGATAAACATATTTTCAAATTGTAATTTTTATTGTTATTTTCATAGTACCTAATTATTTTATTTAGTGAAACTGAAGAACCAAGCTTGAAACGTTCTGCAAGAAGACTATCAAAGGAAACATCAAAAAGTACAGTATTAGAGAGTGCAATGGCAAGGAAAGAGAGGTCAAATTATACAGAAGAAAGTACCAAGAGAAGATACACTAAACCCGGCAGACCAAGAAAAATATCTGTTGAGAAAAGAGATTCTAATTCAAAAGCTCTAGAAAAAGCAGAATCTCTGGATAAGACTCACTCTTTTTCAAAAGCTGCAGATAAAATAGATTCCATTCCACAATTAAAACCTTTGGATCCTTCAAAATGGAATACTGATAAAATCATGGCTCTGCCTAAGTTGAGTCCATTAGATCCTACAAAATGGGCTGTAGATAAGAAAGATTTACCAAAACTAAGTCCATTAAAACCTCAAAAGGAAGTGGTTACAGTAGATAATGAAAAGAATGGTCTTGATGCTGTCAGTCTTCAAAAATTAAACAAATATGAGGGAATGCCTAAGTTAACGCCTATAGTAAAAACTGCTGAAATCCTAAGCCAGTTCAGTGAAGTAACAATTCATAACATTTCGTCTTCAAATGCAAAAAATAGATCATTATTGAAAAGATCAAATGAAGCTTTTCTAAAGCCCACATTAAAAATAAAAAAACGAGAAAAACCGCGACCTGTGACAGTGAGCAACGATGCAAAAGCACATTCTACAGGTATTTGTAATTAATCAATTTCTGATGCTTGTAGAGTTTTCACGTATGAAAATAATTTGTAATTATTTCCAATAGAAGCAACTCTTTCTGCAACAGAATCTGAAAATTCAATGGAAGATGTTATACTAGAAGGTAAATCGAAATTCCGCGCATTGATCCAAATCTCAAAGTAGATTTATTCACAATTCATTCTTCCAGAAGAATCAATACAACCAAAACGAACGCGTAGAAATATGGTTCCTAGTCCAAGTACAGCTGAAGGGCAAGCGTCCACGCCAGAATCGACGGCTATTTTAAATAACAGAGGTCGCGAGAAACCAGCCAATAACAAGGTAAGCAAAGCTTCCGCGCTCTTATTCTGGCTAACGTATTGATATCTCTAATCGTATTGTATAGCATGAGAATTTTTATATTGTGTGCCACTAACTTGAACCACGTGTTTTTTTCTCTCTCTCTTTTACACCCAGCATTCCGAATCCATGCAATGCTTGTGTGAAGTGCGCTCTCAGTTGTATGTGACAATCACCAGTGCCGAATCACCGTTGTACTGCACCGCCCAAGACTCGATTGATAACAAAAATGTTGTTTGCGGCAACGAGGTCGACCACGACGATGTGGCGATGAGACGGCCGAGCACGAATATCCCTTATATTATACTATGTCGCACTCACAAGGAAAGACTCACGAGGCATAACTGCTGTCCGACCTGTGGACTATTTTGTTCCCAGGGTAAATTCGTGCACTGCTCCAACGGGCATCAGTATCATCGTAATTGCGAATTGCTTTACAACGACAAGCCACTTTGCCCGCATTGCGGCAGTTATGGCATTTCGTACGATGTTTTTATTACCATGACGGGCAAACGTAAACCCATGACTCTAGCATCACGTAAACAAGTACCAAAGGAACCAGCGGCAAAGATCACTTTACCGGGTGTAGGTGATAATGCTAAGCTTGCCGAACAACAACCAATTCGGAAAAAGTCTGTTGGGCCGTTGATAGATCCAGCAATCATCAAGATTCCTGAGACTGTTGTAGGTGAAAAAATTGAGCGGTACACGGTTATGAGCTTGTACAATGCTGTTAAGAGTGGCGACGTTCAGAAGTTGGTCAACGTTTTAGGTATACCCTTTTAACTCCTCATGTTATTAAACAAACTTTGTTGAGCATACTAATTGTTTTACGTCGATTTTTTCTAGCGTGTGGTTATAATGCTAATCACGTGTTTCGTGATCAGGGGCACAAAACTGGGCTACATCTGGCATCGGACAAGGGTCACGTAGCGTGTGTGCACGTTTTAGTGCAAGCTGGTGCACAAATAGATGTACTTGATAGAAATCAGTTGTCGCCGTTGATGTTAGCCGCGAACAACGGAGAGGCAGAAGTTGTCAGGTATTTAATGAGAACCGGTGCTGACGAGGCTTTAAAAGGCGAAGATGGTATGACGGCTTTGCATATGGCTGCTAAATCTGGACACTTGGAAGTTTGTAAAATTATTTTGGAAGAGTGTAAAGTACCGCGAACGTTAGTCGGTAATTATCGTTACTTCTTCGGTCTTGATTTTAAAGAAAACAGAATTTTTTTAACTTTTAATTGAATTTAAAGATTCAACAGACGATGGTGGATGGACGAGCTTGATTTGGGCTTGCGAGTTCAAACACGTCGAGGTAGTCCGGTTTTTGTTGAATAGCAAATGTGATCCACTTATAAGAGATGCCGAGCAGAATATTTCTCTACATTGGAGTGCATTTAGTGGTAGCTCCGAAATAACTGAGATGCTTCTCAATGCAGGCTGTGATCCGAGCACTGTCAACGTTCATGGCGATACACCCCTGTAATTAATTTTTAATCAACGCGAGTGGTTTATTAAAAATTGTTCTCGAATTAATGATATTTACAATACGATTACAGGCACATAGCATCTAGAAAAGATCAGTACGATGTTTGCGTTCTACTATTGTCAAGAGGGGCAAGAGTTCGCGAAATGAATATTATGGGAGAAACAGCGATAGACTGTTGTGGTGGAACCGGAGATACCTTGAATGCTCTTCAGCTGAATTTTAAAGTTAACCAGAACGCTGATAATTTATCAGAGAAAACCACCAGGATATTAACAAAGTACGGTTCTTCGACGTTTATTTAAAACATACTTTAAAATATCATTAACTTCTAATTTCATTTCAGTGACATTTCTCGAGGGAAAGAAACGAATCCTGTTCAGTGCGTCAATGGCTTTGATTTGGAAGATAAGCCAACTGATTTCGTTTACGTAACGGAAAGCTGCTTTACTAGTCGCATTAACATCGATCGAACAATAACATCGTTGCAATCGTGTCGGTGTGAGGATAATTGCAGTTCTGATAAGTGTCTTTGTGCCAATATTAGTCTGCGTTGCTGGTACGACGAAGAAGGAAAACTGGTACCAGAATTCAATTATGCAGGTACGGGCCATAAATTTATTTTCTGCAAAATGACCACCTATTGATACGCGATTTTAATATTTTTAATATGAATTAAATTACAGACCCTCCGATGTTGTTTGAATGTAATCCAGCTTGTGATTGCAACAAAATAACATGCAACAATCGAGTTGTTCAGCATGGGTTGACGCAACGATTTCAGCTCTTCAGAACTGAAGGAAAGGGTTGGGGCTTGAGAACTCTCCGACATATTCCAAAAGGCTCATACGTCTGTGAATATGTTGGTGAAATTATCTCAGATTCTGAAGCGGATCAGAGAGAAGATGATTCTTACCTATTTGACTTAGACAATAGGGTAAACTTTACTTATTTTTTTGACGTATAAACATTAAAAAGTAATTCAATGAGATGCTCTAATGCAAATGTATGATATAGGATGGAGAGACTTATTGTATTGACGCTCGACGTTACGGAAATTTAGCTCGTTTTATCAATCATTCTTGTGCTCCAAATTTATTACCTGTGAGGATATATATTGAGCATCAGGATCTCCATTTTCCAAGAATAGCATTTTTCGCTAACAGAGATATTGAAGCAGATGAAGAATTAGGGTAAGATTTTTAAATTTTTAACATCAGTTTTATAATAAGTGCTGACTGAATTTTTTATATTTTTATAGATTTGATTATGGGGAAAAATTCTGGATCATTAAATGTAAATCATTCACTTGCACTTGTGGCGCTGAGCATTGTAAATATTCTGATACTACCATTCAAATTACGTTAGATAATTACCGCAAAAAAGTACAACGTGAAGAGTTATTAACGCATCTAACAGCGATAACAGTCACTAACAGTTGCTAAAGAGTTCAAACTCCAATGTCGTGAATAATTTAAATTCTATGCTGTGTTCAAATTATGTTTCAAAATAATAGACTGTCTTGTTCTTGCGCTCAGTTCGAGTTGGTTAATGTACACTTTTACTAAAACAAGAAAGTAAGAGCGTTGAACATTATAGCAGTACAAATCGTGATAATATACTATTTCAGTTATGTGTTCAACTGTACTTCATACTAAGGCTGATACCATTATCAATACAATGTTTTCACTGAATCGACACTTCAGAACGTAATTTGTAGTTTAACATAACAGATGAATTGCATTTTATAATAAAAAAACTGTTAGTATGTTTTACAGATTTGAAATTTTGTAGGTGTAACTATTAAAAATTTTATACGCACTTTCTTTAAACACTAAACGCTGCAACACGGTATGATAACGATTTTTGATAAGTGGACAAATGTGTGTAATAGTTTTGAAGAGAATGCGCTGCCATTGAGACGATTTAATTTTTTATGTAATTTTTTTTTCTTGATAATAGCATCTTGTGCTACTTGAAAAAATTTGTATATAGTATTATACCTATGTTATAACTATAGCATGAATTTTGCAACATTATGTTCATATTTTAATGAAAATCGAATTGTATTCATAGTAAAATATAGTCAAATGACTAGTACTAAAAAATGACTAAACTTTAGTCTGTATACAAATAAACTGTACATTTCACAATTATCTTTAAATTGCTCCATAATTTTCACGAAGTGAAAATTGTAAATGTTAGTTTGTATAAAATGTAGGATTTGTTTGAAGTTCTGAGCTGTATTCTCAGTAGGCACTCATCAAATTAATTTGATATTTTACTTTCATTATGCATAAAAAAGAATAGATAGGCAAAGTATGTAATTTCTAATAGTTCTTAACAATCAAGCAATCAATTAATATATCACATCACGTTATTAAATTTTATTAAATTTTTAAACATTTTATGTGTCCTATTTAAAGTAGAACTGTGAAGTGTGCGTTGCGAGTTATGTCTGCGGTATTGTTTATGCGCTTGATTTAAAAAAGAAATGATAAATTAAAGCAAATTTTTTTGCAAGTATTGATTTATAAAATATTTTGCTGATTCGACAATCTTATTTTGTGCAAAGCTAATTTGTACAATTAAAATTAAATCTATATCTCTTTAACAATAAATAATTACGATTTTTTAATAAAATTAAAACTTGTGAAAAAAAGTTGAAATGTTTTTTATATAACTTCAAGTAATTCATTTTGCCCCGAACCCAAAATTCACTGAATATAATAAAACAATTTTTTTTGTCATTCTAAAAGAATTATGAGAAAGTATATGAGAGATTATGTTCATAAATTTTTAGATCTTACTATTGGAAATATATTTGGGAAAGATGTTACGTGCAGAGAACCAATTCATCGATGCGATGCTTATCAACCCGGAGTTTTAGTTGAGTTCGGTAGAACTGGTATCAAAGTATGTTTTAAAAAATACGGTTTTTATATAAAAAATTATTTTTTATATTGTGGAATAGATTCATACCATTCATGTCTTAAATGTATATTGTAATTAAATTAATAATGTGATCTCGATAAATATAGCTTCATCTTACATCAATGTTTCTTTGTTTTCATATAACTTACAATTGATTATCTGTCATTTTACCGAAATCGTATATACTTTTTGCAAGCAACCAAACTTTACTTCGCTTTTTGAATTTCGATCGGAAAAAATAGTGTTATGTAAGGAGTTTTACATTATTACAATCAATCAATATTTTGAATAAAATTTTCATAAATGGATCGCCAAATCGTAAGTATACAATCATGCTATCAATTTTTATCTATCTAAGGGTCTGTCTCCATAGGGCCTGCCTGAGTCCGTCCGAGCCGGCCGAGATTTTTTATGGGCACGCCATCTCTATAATTTCGTATCCAATGGCGAGTTTCATAGTGAATGACTGCGTTTACATAAACGAGCCCGATCGGACGCAGCCAATACGAGAAACGCATGAACACGAAATTATAGAGATGGCGTGCCCATAAAAAATCTCGGCCGGCTCGGACGGACTCAGGCAGGCCCTATGGAGACAGACCCTAATAACCAGGATCTCATCGCTTTATGTCTACACAAGTATGATTTTTATATTGAAAAAAAATTGCCGATAGATGTCACGTGGGTACCATTCTCACAAGTCTAAGAAGTCTGCTAGGATTTTCTGTTTGTTTAAAAATGAATTTATTGTAATTCCGCTTCAAATACAAAATATACTTAAAGTGTATTTCATAAATCTGATCTATAAAGTATTAAATTTTGCAATGATGAATGGAGTAAAGGTAACTCTACTGTTTGAAATATTATGAATTAAGCACTTAACCTTTCTTAATGACCAATTTATTAAAATTCGGTGATTTATTTAAGTTTTTTAATCTGTATTTCGCTTTATTGAAGATTAAAAAGTATTTGTTAAATTCTATGCTTTATTAATACAATAAATTGACCGTGTTCTTGAGCATGCTTTTTTAAACATTTTTTTGTTTATATTGAAATTTGCCTAAATGAACAAAAATTGTTCCATTTTTCAAGTTGTTCAAAAAATTCTTAATGCCTTGCGGCGTTTGTGCGGCCATTCCCGTATTAAAGCAGTCAAAATCAAAAGAAGATGTGGTACAAGTCAGCAACGAAAATCCAGATAAAAAATTAGTACGACCATCTGAACTTCCAATTTATATGTTTGAAAAACCAGCAATTAGGGAAACTCCATGGTAAAGTGCAAGTAATTTTCTTTGTATTATTACTTGTAATTTATATTATTAATTGTAACTTGCTTAAAACACTGTCTTACATCAGTTACGAATTAAATATTCTTTAACAGTAAGGAGCATGAAGAAAAACCTGGAGTTTTAGAGCAAAGCTTTGGAAGTGTACGAAAATCATTACAAGATATTCTAAAACAGTTCACGGGCTACACAGATAAAATAATAAACACAATAGAAACTGGCAAAGCACACAGTCAAGGTAATAATATTTATATTTATTGTGCATGGTATTATGTTATTATTAATATCTTAGTGATGAATTATGGTTTCTTATAGTAACCCTCGATTATCTAAGAGAAGAAACAAATGTAATGCCTCGTATTGGAGCTGTTGGTTTGGGAGGTCTGACAGGATTGATATTAGGCTTAAGGGGAGGAAAATTCAAGAAATTTGTTTACAGCTATACAGGTGCGGTGGTTGTAGCTTCAATTTGTTATCCAAAACAAGCTCAGGAGGCAACAGTACTAGCAAAATATTACGTCAATGTTGGTTATAACTTTTTGTATGGTGGTAAGCATATAAATATTACAGAATGTTATTGGCTTTGATGTTTTGTCTAATTCTTAATTATTTGTAAAAGATACTAGTATATTTTGGTTAATCAATTTTACAGTGAAGCCGGGAGAAGAAAATCAACTGGAAATCAATTGGCCAGAATTACCAAAAGTGCCAACAAATTTATCTGAGGTTACAGATCTAGCTAGCAGTACTGCTGGTTCAGCTGTTTCAGCAGTTGGTACGCTAGTAATTAAAGCAGTTAATGCATTCAATGAACTAATTAAGGTAGGAGGGTTTCCAATTTTAGTACAACCTCCTCCTGCTCTTTCTTACCTGACAAGCACCTAACTCAATATCTAAGTTATACATGCGTCAAATATTCTTATCGTGCTTTATGCAAAAAAAATAAGAATAAATGAGACTTCTGTAACGATTCTATTAACACCGAGATAGACTTGATTCTTGAAAATATTTGTATGTAAAATAAAAATTTTCTTTTAGAATCAAAAAGTGATTTAAAAACTCATGATGCAACGTTTGTACCGGAAGATACCGATGAAACAAATATTATTGATGTCGTAGACTCGACAGAGTATGAGACGCAAACGAAAAACGATAAAAAGAAATGGTTTCTGTATTGGAAACTTTTGTAATATAGGTATTGAGTTTTCCATACTCGTCATCCTTTCTATTCCATTCGTGTATACTTCGTAAAAATTACATGTCTATTGAAATAAAAAGTATGCTACGTTAATAGTTTTGATTTTATTTAGGATCCTGAACCGTCTTTCGAAGAAGATAGAAAGAAAAACTAAATGAGCAGTTACAAAATCAAGAAAACCCCTCGAAGTAGAAGGATGAATCTGAACTGATTGGAATGACTGTTGAGAAAATGTTATTAAAATGTGATCTTGAAAATAAGACCAGGCATTTTTGTAAAAATTGATAATCGATTGGAAACAAGAGTACACTTGATTTATTAAAAATAAAAAATGTAGATAACACGCCTGCATTTTATAATTGATAAACTAATCCTTAGTAACATAAAAACACTTTCCACGATTTATTTTTAGCGTTACGCGAGTAATTATTGCCTATACCATGATTAAAAAAGATGGCAAAAATTCGATATTCCCGCCGTGTTTTTAAACCAAAGCAGCAATTAGCATACTGGTATATGCTAATATGCGATCTATAAATACTTCTACCGTACGTATAAATAATCCGTTCTTGGCCTTGTTGGCGGGTGTGCGAACTTGATTTTTTGTCATTTCCAATCTTCCTCCGATAGGTAGTTCAAAAATATAAGCCTCTCTCACTCTCTTGTGATTCGTCTGCTCGTTGATTTCGACAATAGCCAGTACATAACCTGAACAGTTTGCAACCGGTCCTCGTCAGATGTCAGCACGCGTGATTCTTGGGGCGCGATTAAAAGCTGCAGGCCGAGAATCCTAGAATCGTCCGTCCGAGTCTCGGTACTCACGATACGTACACAGTATATTAACGCGCCATTTGGTATAAACGTGATGGGAATGTCCCGAGTGGGTTAGAGAAGGATCTCTGATAAAGTAGTATAAACGTCAATCCTTGTTCTCTCATTCTCTCATCTTCGTATACACGTGTACACGTCGAAACATCGAGAAGTTTGCTTGGTGTTGTAATAAGTAGTGTGCGAGAGAAGGCAGAGTAAACGTGCGAAAGCGGCTGGAATTGTCAACAATCGATGATGGACTAGTGTAGTGCTACAACAACTTGAGAGAGGGAGAGAGAGAGAGAAAGAGACAGACAGACAGAAAGAAAGAGAGATAGAGATAGATAGATAGATAGATAGATAGATAGGGGTTGTGGATCAATCAAATCGATCGTAGTGAAAAGTAGGATCGGTCTATCTATCTTAGCAAGGTCGAAGGGGTGAGAGAAAGTATGTTCAACCGCACCTAAACGCCGAAACTCCTACCCCTCACATAGCAAAGACAGAAAGACAGCAGTAAGCCGCACAGCATGAGCGACGATACGAAAATGTGAGTACTGCAAGCTCTTGTGTGTTTTTTTCCTTCCAGCAGGAGACAAAAGGTGTTTGTTGCGCGCGGTGAGAGAGTATGTAAGAGCGAGAGGGGAGTAGGCCGATCGATTTTTCGGGCCGCGCGTACTACCACTACGAATGCAACGGCAGATTCTCAGGGTCATCGCAGTGGCAGCTGCTGCTGCTGCTGCTCTGCTACTTTGTAATTATAACGATGAAAAAAAAGGCATCCAAGCGTTCGCGAGTCAGGCGCAAGACATCTATTTTTTGAGGTTATGCTGCAGCAGAAAAAAAGACATACAGCGAGAGATATTTTATCCATCTACATACAGTTGTTCAAACAATTTCGAGTATTTAATTATCGTCATTGAGTGTAACGGTAGCTGTACGTGCGTAATCTTTATTTGCGCACGCTCTCTGTACTCGATGTTTCCAGGAGCGAGCGCATTTTTTGGCAAATATGTGCCATTTTAATAATCCACGGTTTTTCCCAACGAGAATTGCTGAAGATGGGTCGCGCGCATGAACACTTTCGCGACACAGACGCACGAGCATTAACATATCAAAGTGATTTACGCTTGGCGCGCCCGAGAAACGTGGATTGGTGCTTGCGCTTTGAATGTCTTGATTGATGTAACTTTTACACATGAAAAACTCCGTCTCAATTTCGTGCAATTATTGCAATTATTTAAAAATCGGCGTGTTTCCAGTACGAGCGACGCACGAGTATAACGCACGAGTGTAATGCACGGGAAAAAATGGGCAGCGAATAAATTGAGGCGTCGCTGCTCTGTTTCACACGCGAGTACGCACAGCGTTGAATTTAAAAACGGCAATTAGAAGCAACTTTTATCCCTCGGAACGAAGTGACGCGTAAATCAATTTCCCGCCGTGGTGCGCGTTCCTGTTATTGCGAGCGCTCGCCGTTCTCGCGTTACGAATGCCTGTTTATCTCGCATTCCTTAATAAAGACCAAGGAATACCAGCGCGACTTCTTTTCTTCTTCTCCTCTTATCTTTGCAATGGGCGGGAGGAGAATTTGATTTTCCCAACGGGAAGCCAAAAATTGGTATTCCTTGGGGTGCTTGAAAGTTGACTCGTCTTGCGCGCGCGCAAAAATAAGCGTAAACGAAATACGCCCGGAATGCTTTAATCGGCAACTCCTACTCGGACATAATCATGTCAACTCATCGCATTATATGCGTCTGTCCGTTTGACGCGGTCGCGATGACACGAAGTGAGTCGCACTACACGCGGATATCTGATATTAACATCGACGTAGAGTTTCCGCGTTGAGCTTACAACAGGGAAATTGAAGATATTTTATCGTGATTATCATCGCTTTAATCAATATCATCGATCGATGTTGTACAGCAACAATAGTCAGCAGTGCTGCATTCTAGAAAATAATAGCCAAATGTGTTTGCGTGTCTATTGTTTATCGAGAGCTACGTTGTCAATCTACCTCCACGTTACTTGGAAAGTAATTTACGCACCTCCGTGAACTGGACGAGTGCTGTCTAATTTGCGCGTCGCGTGGAGTTTCGGGATACAAAAATTACTCGAATGACTATTGCCGATCATTTGGAATTTCCAAGACAACAATCATGAATTGTTTAACACAACTTTTCTTCCATCAAATGGCACTGTGACGATGGTAAAACGTTACGTGTATTTTAACGATCGAACAAAGAGAAGGGAAGCAACAGTCTGGCCCGCGGCCGCGCGCTGCAAAGCTGGTTGGACCGCAGCGGCGATTCAACGGGGGCCGCGTTCGCGTGGAGAAAGCCGCAGCCGAAGCGCGCATTCTTTCGGGGAAATGTCGTCGAAATCATCTTGCTCGCACGGCCGATCGAAACCTCGAGAAGGCCGTGCATCGGGAGAAAAACGAGGGGTGGGGCGCAACGAAGACGAAAGTGCAGGTGTACTTTCGCTTTCGCACGCGGATGGCGTCTAATCGATGCTTTTGCGCGGCGAGGGAGCGAGCGAGCGGCCGGGAACGCGAAAATGTCGCCGGAAATCCAGGTCGGCGCGTATCGACCTCACGGTCTCTCGCACACAAGCCGACGGCGTTCGACGGGTTCCGGACCGCGGAAGAGTCGCGGAACGGCGTGGCGCGCGCGAGCCAAGGGGAAGTCAGAGAATTGGCGCAGGCTCGGGCCGAGCAACAGTCAAGCGACGCGAGGCGCGCCGCGTAAACGATTGGCAATCGGCTGTTCGCTCGCGTGTGCGCGCAATCGACTGCCCGTCACGGCGCCCATAGATTCTTCATGCCGCTCGATTTCCGAGGACGAACGAACGGGCTCGTCGTACAGCGGACAGCCGTCGCGATTATCGCGAGCGCATCGATCCGCGGACCGGCAGCGAGGCAGGAACGCGTTGCCAAGTGATCGAGCTCAACGTTAATCACGACCCGCGGAGAGAGAGAGAGAGAGAGAGAAACTGCGTCCTATCATATCCTCGAGGCGGTGTATTTATATCTTTTCTCCCCCTCGAGCGCGGCCTCGTTTTTTGAGGTCGAACCGGACCCCGAACAAAAGGAGGAGTGTCTCACTCGTTTTTTTTCCATCGTCCGTGTTTACATCGATCTCCTTCCCTCTCTGTACACACGTAAAAACGAGAGAGAAGCATGCCTTTATCACCATGTATAATGCATCGGTTGTTCTACGCATCTTCTATAGTGGAATGGATTGCAGTGTATAGTCGTTGTATGCATGGTATAATATAGGCTAGTTTGCTGCACAGAGACAGAGAGACCGAGGACTTTTTTCTCGAGAAGTGGGCAGCGTTCATGGGATACCTATAGCTGCATAGTTTCACTTCGACTTAGTTTAGTTGCAAACGTGTGTAATCAGTTTAACCTCATTTCCCGAGAGCGTTATGCGCTGGGTGTATCCGTGTGTGCGTCGGACAAAACACAAAGTTCAGACATTGAAATTGACATTATCTTTTCGTGTGCTCTTTCTTCCATTTTGTATTAAAACTACATTGTTGATTGCACTTACTTGACTCGCGCACAGAATGCTGTCATTGGCGTAACTTTCAAGCCAGAAAATACCACTTTTTGTTCTATTAACGGTGAGAGAAAAAAAAATGATTGCGTTTTCACGTCAATCGGGGATGTTGTACTTTTCAAACGCGAACTCGCCTAGATGGATATGCGCACAATAGGCGAAGCTATTTATGCATTGAAAAAAAAAAGCGCCATTCTTGTGTTTTTAAGCTTCGACGATTGGCGATAAAAGTACATCAACGCCATATCCAAGCCCTCTTCCCTCGACAATATTTCATCGCTGAACGGCGTGGAATAGGAGAAAAAAATAGAACGAGAGAGCTGGCTTTACGCACGTAAGTGGCGTCGCTGCGATCAAAAGCTCTCTCTCTCTCTCTGTCTTTTCTCTGCGAAATAATCCCCGTAAAATCCAATTAGCTCTTAGCAAAAGGGGAACTTGGCTCGCGAAAAGAAAGAAAGAGGAAAGGAGGAGGGTGTGTGCCCCCGTATTATGAATTAAAATAATGAGCGCGTAAAAATGACAGTATGACGGTCCGCGGGTGATGTAGCACGTTTCTTCTTTGTCGATTTTCCTCTAATTAAAAAAGCGGACTGGGCGGGCAAAAAAGGGTGCGCTTTTTTTCATGTTTTTTTTCAACACCCTTCGCGTGCGCTTACCGCAAAGTAGTCGCGTTGCGTAAGGCGAGCGTTAATTTTCCAAACAAGGCAGCAGCTCGCTCGTTATTTTCTTTCCTCTTTCCTTTTCGAGTATCACGCGCGAAATGGCTCGTCGAAATTCGTCGACTTTGCTCGACAAAGCGAGCCCCGACAAACGGCACCGAGATTATTGACCCGCGCCGAACGGGCTCGTCCCGGCGAGTTGACTGCACGAGTAATTCGACAATTTGTTATTCGAGCGTACGTTCGTTCGACAATGAAAAATGCATCCCCTTCCGAGAGATAATTTATGCGCAGGCGAGTAG